TCTGAGCTATGCACTACTAAAGAAAAAAAAATAGGTATTGACACTTAAACTCTGATTCATGGTTGGGTTATATTTTAACTCATCTACTTGGTTATCCCAAGGGGTTCCATCCTTGGATATAGAATGATAAAAACAAATTTATTTATAAATGAAACAAGGTAAACCAGTAATTAAGAGTTGGAGTAATTATAAAATGCCTTTGTCAAGATGTTATAAGTATATTTTCAAATGTCAAATCTATCTTTTTTTGAGCGTATTCCACTGCTAATGACATACTGGATATAGAAACCATCTCAGAAAATGTAGATTTAGAATTCGTAACACTCCTCTGATGTTCTGGTATCATGCCCTTAATATTTAGAACTTCTCAGTATAGCTGCCTCAGTCATGTCCCAGGAGCTGAGAGATGCCTTCAAGGCACTGATGATTACATTCATGTGTAATATGGCCCAAGAACCAGCCACTTAACTGATTGCACAATTTTATCTAATGAAAAAAATTAAAAAGGGAAGGCGTGTTCTCTCATTTCTTGGCCATATGTTAGTTGTTTATTAACAAATGAATGAACGTATCTCTAAGAAGCTCTTTTTCACCATGTGAGAATGAATGGGGATCCAATACTGTAATAAGACCATGATCTCTTTGATTGTCACTCTATATGAAATATTTTCATTTAACTGAAGTCCAAGAGCATTATTTCCCTTGGAAACTTAAGAGGAATGATCATTTCTACTTGCAGGACTCAGAATACTCCCTGAATTTAAGAACAACTGGTAGAGTTTCCTTTGCCCTGTATCCAGGAAGATGGTCTCTACTGTGGGAGATGTTGGATGGTGAAACCTGGGGAAAGAACTGCACTTCCACAGCAGGGGGTAAACTGAAGGTAGAAGGCAAGGTTTTATGAAGTTCCTACTCTTGGATTTTATGGACCTCTACTTTGCCCATACTGAAAAAGAGAGCAAGGGCAAAGTTTATTTGAAGGGACTTTTTAAAGGTCCCTTTAGGCAGGGGCAAAGTCTTCCTCCCTACAATCACTCCTCACCTCGAGACTGAGTAAATTAGGCATACCCTGTGTGCTGAGAACATTCAGTGAAGCTCTTAAAGGACATCCTGGAGGTGCTCAGAAGTGGGACATCCTCAGGAGTGGGGTAATCCAGTCACTCACTGTCCCATTTCTTCAGGGGGAAAAAGAATTCTAGGTTGTTAAAGTCTGATATTCCTTTCTTTGGCCTATGACAAGTAAATGGTATGAGTTCCAGGTAGATGTGTGGGGCCAGAGCATGTTAGCAAAGGGAAGGCCCTTAGGTGTAGCAGCTAAAACACCTGGGCCATCAACTCTCCTTTTCACTTCTCTTTTCTGCTCTTCTCTGATCTCTACCTCCTCTCCTGATAGCAATTCAACTCAATGTAGTTTTGGCTGGTTGAACTTGGTGGAAGAGAGCTTGACTCCTTACTTTCTGTATCCCCTGGCTCCTAATAGTTGCCATAGACTGGCAGTTTTGGCACCAATAGCAGACGAATCCCCCAGAACTGAAGTTCCCCACCACTTCATCCTGAAGACTGAAAAGTGAGATCTCTAAGATGGGAGAATAGAGCTAGAAGGAGTACAAGAACAGGTTGGTGAGGATTACCAAAGAAAGCCAGCTCTCCAGTTGGTGGGCACAGTAGTGGAGTCCCTGTAAAATCTTACTGGGGTTCCTCATTGATGGAAATGCCTAGCAGTGATCTATATCTTAGAACATGACCCTGTTATAGTTACATTAGCAGATGGACATAACTTTGCCTAAATTTTTTTTGTCAGGTCTTATCCTGTTCAAAGTTTTGACTAAAAATTTTGCATTTAGGATCTCCAAAATGCACCTTATCCCATCTTTCTTCCTCCTTCATGCTTTTTTCCAAGTTAAAAATTGTTCTTAGATAAGCCTTTGATAGCCACATTTACAATAAGAGAAAAGAGACTAACAATTCTTAACTATTATGCTTACCAGAAATATTTATATTTAGTAGGGGACCTGTATCATAAATAAAGGAATTGGCTGAAACGGTGGATTTTCAAGTTTCAATAAGCATTTTGGGAGTAGGGGGCAGGTAGGGAGAGAAGCTCAATCTACTTGGTGCTTGTGAAATGGAAGGGCATAGGCGGCTATCTATTCCACGTATATGGGTGCTCCCTGGGGCATATGTCAATATGATAGACTTATTTTTAAAACCCATTAAAAAACCTTATTGGCTGTGTAATCCATGCACTGAATTGGCAAACAGGAATGTAAAACAATATCATGATGAAAGGCAAGGAATTTGGAATATTCTGTTTATAAGATGCTTTGATTGATAGTACAGAATTTGTATTGTTACTTTGTCTGGAAAAGCTCTTCCTGTTTTCATTATTTTAGGTCAGTGGCATGATTAGTGTTGTCTGGAAACATTAGTCACTTCCTGTCTTTTTCTATGGGGTAAATGTGTTGACATGAGGAGGCGAGAAGGAATAAGGGTGTTCAGGAGCTGGCTAACATCCAAGTTCAAAAATGGGAGGCTTTATAAGGGGTAATGTCATTACTCTTGACCATGAAAAGTATACTCCTTTTTTCTAAGTCTTCTGTGTTGCTGTTTTAAAAATGAATTTAAGAGGTAAAGTTTGATCAACAAACAAAGCTCATTCTTAAAACAGAAAGGAACCTTTAGTTTTAGCAGGTTTCCATTGTAGGGACACACCATTCAACTCTGATTTAGGAAGATAATATAAACGTACACCAAGACGTTAGAAATTCTTCAGATAATTAAATTTATAATTGGCATGCCTAATTTAACTACTTAAAAGAATGGAAGAGGTCTATTTTATTGTACTATTGGTAACTCAAGATTGGGTTTATGGGTTGCAGAGGAAGAAACTTTCCTGAATTGTGCAGGTACTACTACACTTCTGTAGAATTACCAGGTTCTGTTTGCTGGATTAGCTGGGACTTAATAGCTATTGCTTTTTAATGAGCATTCTCCCATTAGTGAAATTTAAAATTACCGTCCCTTTCACACATCCAGTACCTATATGTCTGGATAATTTGACTTATGTCTTTAGCCAAGGTAAGTACAGCTATTATAACTGATTTTGTGAGATTCTTATTCTTTATAAATGATAAGTAGAGTACAATTTTCAAGTGATAACAATTAATCTAAAATTGATAAGCTATCACTTTTGTAGAAAAAAGCATCATTTTCCATTTGATGCTAAAAAAGCTAGATAGCTATAAAAATTTACAGAGAATGAGAGATGCAAATATACAGAAAATAGAAAAAATAAATTTGCTAAGTTAGAGAAGACTATGCAAAGTTAAACGTTACAGATAATGGAAGAAAAACTGATATTCTATTTTAAAATTATAAAAATTAAGGAAATAAAGTTAATAAAACTATAAAAGTATAGAGAAACAAGATATAGCTAAGTAGTAAAATATCACACTGAGAATAAAATTTGCTTCTTGTTTTTTCCTTGCAAAATTAAGGCAATTTGTTAACTTATGTAGGAAGTTTAAATCACAGAGAGGCACAAAAAAGTAGCTGGCATCAGATTCTGGTAGGAAAAGTTATGATATTGATGACCCAACATATTAGTGATCCAGATACACTCACACACAGTACTATACTGTGACCTCATTTCAGGTTACTGAGGTCAATCAATGCAATATCCAAATAAGACCATGATTTTCTTTTTCCATTTTCCTTATCTTTTGAAGTGATTTATTCACTTTACTTATGGTGATAATGTCAGCATTCTTAGCATGTATTAGTCTATAAGGTGCTCCAAAGAACTGAAAGCAAGAGGATTTGTTAACAACACAAAGAGAAGATTGTCACATAACTAAACAGCAGCGGCAAGCCTTATCATTTTTATTACCTGTTAAAGACGGATCCTCAGTCCCATCTCCAGCTATCTGCACATCAAGCGGAGAATGGTGGACCGGGCTGCCTAAGCTTTCTTCTTGCTCTTTCAGGGATATGGAATTTTTGTGGGGAGATTTATGGTTTGTGTTTTCATGAGGATTAACTTCCGGTCTCTTGCGAGGAAGTGGTGTTGGTTTGGCAGGCTGGTAAACCTGACTATAGGGAGCTATGGGATGGTAGGATGGTTTCTCAGCTTCTCCTTCACTCTCCTCCTCCTCATCATCAATCACAACCAGCTCAGCGTGGATGACCCCGTCATACCCCGTCAGACGCTTCTTTTCTTCTTCATTGTCTTCTGCCTGCTGATACCCCATGAAAATCATCGTCACAGGTTCTGTACCATCCATGTCAGGAGGCAGGGAATGAACGATATTATATCTAACATCTTCCTCATCCTCTTGGCAAGTAGGAGAAGAACCCTCGCGTTCTGACTTCCCAACTAGTGCTTTGCGGGGACTCAATCTTGCCTCTGGAGAGCGTGCATACTTGTCCTGCAGCACATTCGATTCTTCCCAAGGAGTCATCAGCCTCTTTTGTAGGGTGTGGGGTGTCTCCTCTGTTTGTGGAGTCATTGATCGGGGATGAGGTATTGGCCGAACAGGATTGATATGATTGAAGCTGTTGCCACTCTCCTCTGAAAATCCATTGTCCATATTGTGTGCGGATTCATTCATATCATTTCCCAGTCCATTAACTTTAATCTTTATCCTTTCTTGAAAGTTTGGTCCAGGGGTTACCTTCTCTCTCTGTGGAGTAATAGGCCTGCAAAATGGATTGGCATATACAGGCTCGTGATACTCTGTGGGAGATTTAGAGTTTCTCTCTGAAGCTTGTCTTAAAAGTTCCTCTACCTCAACTGGTGCCAGGCCATCGGTGCCGTTGTATGCTGCACTGTGATTAGAGCTTACTGCATATACTGACTTTTGCCCATCGTCATAAACTTTTATGCCTGTACCTTTAAAGTCATCTGATGGGAGAGGTATTGAAGACAGGACTGTACTTTCTCCAGTCTTCAAGTCTTTTTCAACCTTAATTTCCATGGCATACAAAGCTGTCAAGAGACAAATTTGATTTTTGATTTAGTTAACTTTTCCTTTTGTAAACTAGCTTGTTTCACAGTGCTTATTTTTATATTAAGTATACCCTTTGATGTTCTTTTATGTAAGATGTCTGTTTTTTAGTTTCTAACTTTATTCATTAATTACATAATGACCCACACTGTAATGACATGGGTTTTTATGTGAGGATGTATGGAATTGCTGAAAAATTGAAAAGATTGAAGAAGAGAAGCTGATGGTTTCCAAAAGTAAGGATTTTCATTAGGGAACCAAAAGCTATCCTCATTCTAATTAATAAATCCAACAAGACAGATTTACACTTTTTTCTGTCACTCAGTGAGAGGAATCAGATCTTTTCTTGAGTTAGGAAGAATATGTCGCCCTATGCATTACTGTGAGTGAAAGACCCAGCACAGTATGTTTTATTAAGTTCCATCCCTGCTGCATAGGCCAGAGGTCTGTTGAAATTACAGAGGAGTTTTCACACCAGGGAGGTTGTTTCAATGTGGAACTGGGAATGCAGGGGGAGGGAGAAGGCTAGAACTGCATGCTTCTCCTCTTGCCTTATGTTTCTTTTCATTTTCACTCCCACTTTCAAGTGGAAGAAGGGCTAAAAGTAAAGCCATATGAGCTGTACTGAAACAATTGGACTAGAGAGAACTGGTTGATTTTGCAGGAAGCTCAGATCTGCTTCCTGGCCCAGGTAAGATCCTTATGTCTGGAATTTTAACTGGCAGAGTAAAGGTAATAGGATTATGGCAAAATTACAATACGGCAGTGCTTGTCTTTCTTGTGTCCTCCCACCTTCCTTTCTGAACCCATCTGAGAATATTTCCTCCCTCCTCCACAGCCCGATGGTTCTTGGCCTTCCCTAGCTACCCAGCTAAACTGCAGACCCCCACGTACCCTTTCTATCTCCCTTCTGCACTTTCTTCTTCTCTTCAGCGTTTTTACTCCCTAACATGATATATTTTATTTACCTAATTTTTTGTCTATTTTCTCCCTTAGAATGTCAGCTCCATGAGGGAAGAGATTATTGCTGTTTCACTCACTACTGTATTCTTAGTGCAAGAACGGAGCTTGGAATATAGCATATGTTAAGTAAATACTTGTTGAATGAATGAATGAATGAATGACTGGTACCTGGAGACAGAGTGTAACTTCTCTTTCCAGTGTAAAATTCAAAGCTTCCCTCTCTGCTCCCATACAAGCCTTCATTTCTTCTAGAGGCTTTGAAGTATTAGTTCTATGAAAATCATTCCCATATGGGGGTAATAATGCCTAAACTTCCCAAGGGGAGTTTTTTCATTTTCATAAAGGATCTTAGTAACCCGAGAGAATGTCTACTGTGGGGAAGTGTTGGGAGAGATATTTTTGAGAAGGAGAGCTTTGCTTTGGAGAGCTCCTTGTCTCCTTCAGGACTTTATCTTCCTTGTCCCTATTTAGTTTACTAGGAAATAAAATAGATGGAATAAATACCGTAACCCTGTTACCCCTACCTATGCAAGTGACTCACATACCTCATGGAACTTTGTAAAATGGACCATTGCTTGACCTGAAAGTGTAGCATGTCAAAGCAAGTTGCTACTATTTGACATTGTAAAATCCGAATTTGAGAACCTACCATTGAAGACAGATTTCCCACATACCTTTTCTATTTTGTTCATCATCCTCTATTCCTTCATTTCTTTCCTTCCTTAATCTGGAAGGTACGTAGGATTTTGGAAGGTCAGGGATATTAGCATAGATGTCTTCAATTGACTCTGCAAAATTAATATTAATTCAAAATACATTTAGAATATATTTATAATAATGGGAAAAATTTCACTGGGCTTATCAAAAAATATCTTAGTTGGATATAGAATATACTGCTCAAAAACATACCTCCTGATGTTTCTTCTTTTCCCACCTTCACAGACTATAAGAAAAAAGAATTCTCTATGATCAATACAGTTTAAAAAGTGAATTCTAAATGTGGATATACTTTGAAGAATTACATACTATTTGTGGACTTTGAGAGGGCATCATAGTTTTAAAATTAGTTAATGCTCACCTTTATTATATCTTCTGTTGTCCTCTCAATTAATTTTAGTTTCTTTAAAATTGCCTCTTCATTGGTTGAGATTTGCAATTCAGCCTTTTCAAGATCTTGGATCTCTTTCTCAAGTCTGACAACAAAAAGGTATACTTTTTATTGCTGAAGACAGTACACATGCAGAGATCTCAACTATATCTTCCCCATACATAAACTTCCCTTGGAATATTGCATGTAAGTATCAGGATGCCTTCGAAGAACATAGCATCACATTAAACATCACATGTAGTACATAGAAGATACCTAATACCTGACTTTGATTTACCAATTTTCGATTCAAGTTTTAAAAGTTTTTTTTTTTTTTGACAAAGGGAATTCTCAGGTAAAGTATTTGAACCTTGCTTCATTCCTTGATGCACTTACTAATGTTACTTCCAAATGAAATCGAGAAACTTCTTTTATAAAGAGACTTAAGTTTAAAATTGAACTGAAAGGAATGGTCCATTTGTAGTTATTATGCAGTTCACCAATTTTTCTTACCAAGTCTCCATATACATTATTTGGAGAAAACATTATCATTATGTTTTTTCTAGCCAATCAACACTTCATAACATTATAATTATTAAACTTGATTTAATAATCATAGCTCTTTAACACTTAGAAGCTCTGCATATCATAACATAGAAAATAACATTTTGTTTTAATTTCACAGTTTTCTAAGAGTTGTGCCATATTATTGCGAGGCGGGTGAGGAGCCGAGAAATGGACAAAATCTAGTATAGTGGCCTCAGCTGCAGCTGTTTATAGAGACTAAATTTTCTGGGAACGAAAAGGGGAACACATGGCCTGATAAAGAATAAGAGAACTTATAGGGACAAAGAGATAGGCATTTGAAATTGGACTGTTGCAAACATTCCGAGCTGGTTCCTTGACCAGTGTACAGCTGCATGTCAGATTCAAGTTAACTCCAGGGTGTGGCGTCATGACCTCTATCCTGTATAAAAACAAACAGCCACTGGCATTCACGCAGTTAGTAAGGCTGGCCTTTGGCAGCCATGAAACACACATCATTTCTCAGCCAAATACTCTCAGCTCTAAAGTCAGCTGCCTCAGAGGATGGCTGATTAGATACAGCAACTAGTTCAGGAGATGACAGCTGTGGGTATTAGTGTCAGCTAAGATAACTGTCAGTTTTCTTGGCTTCCTTCTTTAAGATAGGCATGGATCTGGCAGCTTGAAAATCCTGTGCCATTGTCACACTAATAAAAGCCCAAGATATGGTCTGCTTGACCATTCTCCTACTCATCACTTCAAGGTTCTGACTTTCCCACTGCCTCTCGCCGTTTGTAGTTGGCCATTTATAGTTGGTTTTGTAGCCGAGAAGATTTTCTTGTGTATCACAGAACTCCAAGTAAAATGTAGTACCCCCGGTTTCTTAGAAAGAAGAATTACTGAGGTGCGACTCCTATTCTGTTAAAATCCCTCCATGTCTATGGTGGCACATTTGCCCATCAGTAGATGTGGGAATAGATGTTGGTTGGCAGAGTAGAAAGTTCTATACTAAAAGTGATAGATGTGGATTGTTCTGATTCTGCTACTCACTACTTGTGAGAGCCAATTCCCTTAACATCAAGCACGCTGAATATAGCTGATGTTAGATGTTAAGTGTTATTACGGTATAATTAAAAGTTTCTGCAATACCCTGTGTCCTTTCTCCTTCCATGCCCGGTTGCACAGGGTCCTCTACCTGACAGCATGTTAGAGACAGTCTAGTGGGGAGCCATTGGGTAGAAAATGAGGAAGTTCAAATTAACACCGCAAGCAGCCCTGGGATCTCAGAATCCAGCTGTGGAACCAAGCGGACCTGGGTTTGAATCCTAGTTCATCTGTCAATTTCCTGTGGGACCGAGACAAACACTACACCTCACTAAACCTCAATGTTTTCATTTATTCATTCAAAAATATTTTTTTAGCATCTGCTTTGTACCAGGTGCTAGCCTATGTGCTAGGGATATGACAGTGAACAAACAAAGTCCCTGCCCACAAGGAGTTTACATTCCAGTGGGAGGACACGGACAATACACGAATACAGGGGCTGACAACCTTTTTATGTAAAGAGCCAGATAGTAAATATTTTAGACTTTGAAGGCCACATGCGAATTCTGTTGCATATTCATGCTTTTTCTTTTTTTACCTTTTACAATCCTTTAATAATATAAAAACTATTCCTAGCTCATGGTTGTACAAAAGTAGGCTAGGGATAGATTTGGTTCTGGGTTGTAGTTTGTCAGCCTCTGAAAATGTGTCTATGTGTGTGTGTGTATGTGCATATTTATTCATTCACACACACACATATATATATATACAGACGCACTTGCAGAAGCTGGCAAACTATGGCCCATGAGCAAACCTAGCTCTGGATTTTTTATATATATATCTACATATATAAAATATATATACACACATACACACACATACAATATACACATACATATTTACATATACAACCATAAAAATACATGTACATATATATATATAATAAACAAACATGTGAATATACATACACACATTTATTCATGAAGAAAAATATTCCCATGAAAAAGGTAGGATAAGGGCTACAAACAGAAGAACAAGGGGGAGAGAGAGTGTCTGGGGAGGGAGCACTATTTTACATAGTGTGGTCAGGAAGGGTCTCTGTGATAAAGCGTCATTTGAGCAGAGATGTGAAGGAAATGAGGGAAGGACACATGAGGGTTTCAAGGGGAGTGTGCTTCAGAGAGAGGGAAGAGTAACTGCAAAGTTTGAAGTAAGAGCTGAGGTAGTAAGGAGGAAAGTGGTGAGAAATGAAGTCAGAAGGCGGCAGGCGGCCAGATCATACAGAGCCTCGGGCACGGTAAGGCCTTTGGGGAACGACTGGGAGTTCTGAGAGGGGAGAAACACGCTATGATATGAAATGTAAACAATTATATTGGCCGCTGTGTTGAGAATAGACTGGAGGGGGCAAACATGGAGGTCAGTTGTTGTAATAATCTAAATGAAGACTTTTAATCCAGGGTGGTTGCTGGGTAGAAGGATGAGAAGTAACTGGATTCTGGAAATATTTCAAAGGAAGAGCTGCCAGGATTTGTTGACAGATTATATGTGCTTGCAAGAAAGAGAGACATCAAAGGTGATTCCAATGTTTGTGACCCGAATAATTGGAAAAAGTGAACACAATTGGCCAAACAGAAATTGGGGAAAGAGAAGAAAGGAGATTGGTGGGGGACATGTTTATTTTGAGACAGTCAAGTAATGATATGGATAAGACAGCTAGATAAAGAAGTTGAGAGTTCAGAGAAGTCTGAGTTTGAAGATATAAATTTAGGAGTTGGCATTTACAGCTGCAAGAGTGAGAAGATTTCCTGGAAAGTCAGGGGTTCTAAGGACTGAATCCTGGGGCAATTGAACATTTAGAGGTCTGGGCAAAGTTAACTACTTCATGGGGTTTAATAAGGAATAAAAGAACTAGTGAGCACTCAGCAAATGCTAGTTTCCTCCTGTCTCTGCCTCTTTCTATTCCTCGGGCACAGAAAGAGAGCTTGTGGTCTGGCTGGCCAACTACATCTCAGGGAATTATGAAATGCACTGGTATTTGTAGTTGTTTTCCTCTGTAGAGAGACCCGCGGGTA